CCTAATTGATGTAACTGCGGAACAGTCCAGAAACTGAAACCGATTCTGAGTGGATGACTGGCATGTGCCAGGTCGGATGTTGGATGGTATCTGGGACAGGTGGCGGAGTGGGATGCGGTGGCTTTCACTGATATGGACACCTTCTGGCGGCTGAACTGTGTTTAGTGGGTGCAGTGGGCTGTGTCGCAGCATTTTGGAGCCAGAGGTGTTTATCTGGATAGTTTCATTTGCGAACCGTTTAGGTTGGACACTTCGAGTGAGATAAGAATTAAATTTAATAAATGTAGCGCAACTTGAGTGGAGTGCACTTGTAGGCAGTTGCACTCGTGCCCCACTAAATGCAGCTACTAAGCCACATTTCAGTCTTATTAAATTGCCGTTGTGTGCATTAATGCACAGTATTTATTCATATTTTTCTATTTTGAACTTGACCGCGACTGAGTTTGTCTACATAGTCGCCTACGAGGCAGGCAGACATTGTGTTCTATGTAAATATGTGTAATTTGTTAAAACTGTGCGATAGTTGCATTGAATTTCAATTGCAGCGGAAGTGGCATTGAACACCCAAGTTCATCAATGAAGGGATGGGTTTCACACTAAATGGAGAAGTCCTCATAATTAATGGGAACTTAAAACCCAATTTTGCGTTTTAGTGGGTGAACTTGAACTTGTCTTCATTAGCTATTGTATAACGCCCGGCTCCAGTTGATTGGACCTGTCTGTGATCGTTGGCCCGAACTGTTTTTCATAGATATTCAAATAAATAGGTTTGTTTTCCGTTTGAGAAATATTTTTCCTGGTTACATATGTACCAGGGAATCATTTCTTTGCCATATTTGATTGGCAGACAGTTTACATGATCACAAATGCCGTACCAGTTTATTATTGTTGATAGTCAAACACAAATGTATACCCAGAGATGCATACTAATTAACGCTAGCCTATGGCTTATATAACACAGAAGTACTTTTACTACTCTGCTAATTAATGCAATGCAAACTGAATTCAGAGCCCATGTGCGAGGAACAGCAAATTCATTGTCAATGCAAATTGATTTGCATATCGCGGGGATCGATTAGACAAAGGGGCTTTTGGGGGGCAGAAGCTTGACCCACCCACTTGTCTTCGCTGTGAGGAAATTTTCTAATGAAATCCCTGAGGAAAACCAGTTAAAGCTGATCTGAGCCCGACTAACAGTCAGTAGTACGTTTGAGCTATAAAAGCAATTATCACCATTTATTTATGTGAGGCAACGTTGGTTTTATTTGCTGTTTCATGGAAAAGTGTAATTTCCAAATTTGACTACCCGAAATCTCTATTATTAGCAAATGCTACAAATTAAAGTAGATATAACTGATAACCGTCAGTTTATTGAAAAATACCTTCTGTTGGATTTATGTGATTGGAAATCGAATCAACTTCTTATAATACACAAATATGTATGAATATATACATATGACGCTATAATCTCGACTCAGCCGACCGATCTTGTCGCCATAATCTATAGACAGTATGTCTGACTATCTCAGAACGGCAGCTAGACTCTTCCATTCAGATTTGGCTTATCAAGATCACAGTGGTTCCGCAAAACGAAGAATAAAAAGAGCAAACATCACGTGGGTAAAATTCCAGATAATCATTAATCTCAAATTGGAGTTCTGACATTTTTCAATGTTTTTCCACGCGCCCGATTTATGAGCATATTTATTTAGGTAAGGAAATTTTGGCAAGTGCGCGAGGGAAGATTACTGAATTTGACAAATAATTATTCGTATAATAATATAGTTGCATCTTAAAACTGCATGTTTTCCCTCATTTTCTCATTATAACGGCGAGAGAGCAGATAAACTATTTTGGTGCATCGCACTTTGTGTGCTAAAAATAAAAGAATTAAAACCAAAGCGAAATATGCACATGAACCGCGGTAGCAGTTTGACACGCCCCGTCTATGCAAAAGTGGGTGGGCGTTCCACCAAGGTTATTCGGGAGGTTGTTCAGCGCCTTATCAGCACCAGAAATCGGAAATTATTCACGCTTCTCCCTTGGCTCTCAGGAAGAGCAAATCGATTAGATGGCAAGTAAATAAATGCTGTATGGCAATCACACGGCGGCTCATCCTCGTCAAGTTGTGAAAACCCATTTCCTCACTTTCCTCTAGCAGCATTGCTAATACGATATGATTTTCACACGCTTATCTTTTCAATACATTCAGAAAATTTTTGATTTTAACAGACGATTTCCAAATTAAAAAATATGTCTACTGCTTTAAACATGTAAAAGTACGCATTCAATAAGCAAATGTACATTCAAATAAAACAAGTAAATCGAATTTTAGCTGTCATGTTGTGGCACACATTTGGTGCACCTCAAAAGTGTATAACTTCATTGTTTACAGGGTAGCAAATCAGCGACTAAGTATGTGTGTATGGCCCGGCAACAAAATTCGTTTCCTCTCACAAGAAACAGAGACACTCACTTGGAAACAAATATGAATATGCAAAACACTAACGAGATTCCCTTGAGTTTTGAAGGATTTCACGATACCATAATTAAGGCACAGGATTCTAGTGGGTCCAGTTTGCAGATTTCCTCAAACGGCGGATACAGATATACAGCCTTTAACCGCTAGCAACCACTTACAAAGCTATTCACATGTGCCGCAGGCTGGGAACAACTCCCGACGAATTCGAGAACCCGTCTTCAGGCACGAGCCCTAATCGGAGCGGGCGAGGATCGGAGGAGCGCGTGGTCCCGAGCACGCGGCTAAGTGGCCACTGGCTTCTGATCAGGCGGAGTGATCCCACACACCGATGCCGATTCCGATTGCGATTCCGATGTGATCTGGTCGGCACTGCTAGCTGCGGCAGTAGAACCTGACTCGTCGGTTTGTAAAACAGCACTAGAAACTAAATCGAAATCAAATTCGAAATATAGCAAGCTGCCGCGCAAATTGCACGCTGGCAGCGACGTCGCCGTCGGCATCCGCGTTGTGGGTGTGGGTGTGTGAGTGTGTGGGTGTGTGTGTGCTGCCACTGGCAGAGGGTTGACTTTCATTCATCAAAAGCCGCTGCTTCTGCTGGCGGCGCTGCCCGTGGCTCATCGCTTTCCACGTAACGCATACGCAGCGTTGGCCGCGTAATTTGTCGCGCCTTGTTTCGCTGCGCCTGGCTGCGAGGAGTGCAATGAAAGGAGCTCATTAACTGGGTTCAGTAGCTAGGCATCAACTTTCGATGACTTCCTTTCCATTAGTAGCTGCATTGTGCCGACACTGCACTGATCATCCTCGCATTGTGGGCACTGGCAATCAGGGAATCAGCGCCCTCCTCAAGGTCTTCCTCTGCCCTAGATGAAAGAAAGCGAGATTCTTTTTAAATCTGGTTATCATTATTATTATTATGTCACAACTCGCCTGCTCTATAAGTGGGTCAAGTTTATGCCATGATTGCACCTCATCACTTGGAAAGAACGCAGCAAACAACCCCAAAAAAGAGGGAACAATGGCCATAGCCATGGACTACTTAAACCTGATTGAGTACACCGGGAATACAATGGCCAGAGTCTAAGGGAACCAGCAAGACAGTGCGACCGAGTCCTAGGCTGACCCAAAGAATGTTAGTCGAGCGTTTCCGGTTTCATATTCGTACCATTCGACAATAAGTATCAGTGGCAGAAATAAAGCAATAAAAATCAGCAGCAGCTCATCACAGCTGCAGCTGCCTTTGATCTGCTTCAATTCGATTTGCCTTGGGGGCCAGTTCCAGTTCCATGCTGGTGGGAAATGAGTGTGGTATGCGCAAACTGCGGAAGAGCTGGCCGGAGGATGGGATGCTGCTAAGTGGCGGGCCACAGTTGACAGCGATTGCCGTAGTCCCTAAACGTGGCAGCCGGGGATTTGGACTCCCCAGCCCACGGGATGGACTGGATCTGCCCCTTCGGATGGGTTACGCTGGTTCATGTGGAGAGGTGAGCTGCTGCCATGGGCACAGTACACACATTCGGACCGGAACTGTCGATCTTCATTTTTGACACTGGAAAGATTGTTGAGGCTGGAAATTGCACGCCAATCGGACTGCTGACTGCTATGTTGTGGCATATAAATAACTGAATAATTAGATTCTAGTCGCCGTTGATGGACCCAAGTTAATTCAGAAATGCCTCGTAATGAGGATGAGCCGTTGGTGGGGGGCCTAAGAAGCAATCGAGTTAGAACTAGTTAGTAAACAAAAAGTTATTCTTATAATCGAGATTCTGCTCATACAAAGTATTGCATTACATGGCGGTTGTTTATATTTTTTACTTACCTGCACGATCTATAAAACGAAGCTGCGATCGAAATATAAAATCAAAGCACTCACTCACATAAAATCTAACAATGGGCTGGCTTAAAGTACGTTTCTCTATAACCATTTGGAACGCAGAACTTGATAATAAAAACATAAGGATTTAATCGACTGAGGAAAACTTCAAGCAATCAACGCTTCAAGCTTCTCCATACATTAAACATATTTATTTTAAGTTTATTATATTATGTGTAAACATATGCATTATTGATTAAGAATTTCAAGATCACAAATCAGATTTCATTTAAGCTTATAAAAAGTGAGCAAATTCTTCTTTTCGCTTCCGTTTCGAAATGGCAACATAAAGTATGGTAAAATTCGTGGCTGCTGGAGAAACGAGCCGGCGACGCTGGCTCAAAAATATCTCCCAGCACTTAGTGAACGAAAATGGCAAACTTATCAGTAGCTCTAGTGCTATTTTTGTAGAAGGGGCATAATGACATTTGTGTGCGGCGCAAACATGGTAAAAGAGAGTATTACGAAGCAAAAACAGCACAATGAGCAGTTCCTAGGGGATTCCTGAGTACCTATAATGATGATGGTGATGGTGATGGTGATGATGATGATGTTGTTGATGTTCGTGCAACAGTTGGTTGTTTGGCAGCAACCACCACCACCGCCAGTACAGAATATCGGCAGCAGCTGCCGGATATATAGGTATGTGCTACAGGCTATAGGTAGAGAAGTATGTGTGTGTGATGCATTTGTTGTTGGCTAATCCGTTTTGGGCCGCCGAAACAGGAGGATGTGGGGCTCCGGCTTGTGGATCATGTAGTGGATCCAGCCGCGCGACTGCTGCACGCCGATGGATCGCCACTCGGCCTCCGTCATCAGATGGGTCTTGGGCACCATTTTGACCAGCTCCTTGGGCAAAACCACATGTCTGCGGGATGAAGAGTTTACAGTTGCGTCACTGGATCCAACTGGTGGCGGGATCAGGGATCACGGCATCACGGCATCACTCACCTGTACTCGAACTGCTCATCGTAGTACTTGTCGGAGTAGTAAATGTCCTTGCTCATCGTGGCCGCTGCTCCGAATTCCAGGTAAATTCCGATGCAAAGGGAGTGCGAAGTGCGCGCTGCGGAATTTGGCGTCTCTTTTTTGGACCGGTGAGGGCGGCTGCGGCGGATTCGCTGTCGCAACTGGCCCGGCACGCAATATCAATGGGCAAACACTGCTGACGCTTTTCGGCCTGCGTTCCTCGCTTTTTATCACAATTCGGGCTAGTTTTATGCTGAAATTTACGTTTGGTTTGCAATTTTTTTAAATCAAGTGACGCGCTAGATTTAAGTGTGGCCGTGGTGGCAACACGGTAAAATACCATTTGCTCCGAAAAATACCATTTCAGTGCTCTCGCTGCGCACGGCTTGTGCACGCGCTGAGCTTGGTGGGTGTCACGGATAGAGAGTGACCGTTCGAGGCACATCGAAGAAATACCGAGCCCGGGCAATTCAAATTTTAAAATAAACGTGCATTTCAGGTTTCTGTCGCTGTGAAAAACAATCGCCTTGTTAAATTTACAATTTACAGACTCAAATTCTATAAAAAATAGTAAAAAATTTTATCAAAATATTTGTAGAATTTATTTTATTTTTTGGATGCTTTTCCAAGCCAATTGTCTAAAATAGCAGGTAATTAAATCTTAATGATACATATGAACAATTGTAAGCTTGCCAGTGAAACCTCAGATTAGCTTACCTCAGATTAGCTTACCTAGAAATTGTGGCTACACATGCGAAGATTAAGGCACAAAACGGGCGAGCATTTGACCACTTGAAAGCTTTCCGCACAAACTAAAAGCAAGCGCCGAAAAACATATAAATACTCGCGTAAAATTGCCTGACCATTACTATTAAACTCCCCAAACGACCACGCCCCCTGTCTGCGTGAAAGCCCTAAAAGGCTGCCTGCAGACACATAAATTCGGCAGAATTTTCGGCATCGGCTTTCAGCTCGTGCGAAATCTTACATAAATTTTGCGGCGCGGACAACGCAAAGCGAAGTGCAACGCAACGACCAGGAAAACCAAGGATACGGATTGCGGGGGTCGCTGAAGGTGGAATGCATTTAGTCAAAGGTGGGAACACCTAATGGTTGCGTTCGTAGTACTGCGCCGGAATAAAGATCCAGTTCTTGGCCAAGTCGTTGATGGCCTCCTGCATCAGTCGGGACAGCAGATCCATGACGTGACTGGAAGTGATGGTATAATCAACGGCTTCCTATACTGTTAATAATTAAATAAATTCCAATAAATATGCCTACTTTCGATCGATTTCGGTGGCTGCCTCCAGGGGAGTCGTCTTGTCCGGGGACACCACCTGCTCGTAGGTCTTGACCACCTTCTGCCGCTTGCGGTCGCTGTTGATTCGCATGAACTTGGACTTGCTGAGGTACTTCCAGAAGAGCTTCTCGAAGATGGTGATGCGTTGGTCGATGGCCATGCTGAGCTCGATGACCTCGTTGGGGCTGAGCTTGTTCTTGGCCACCAGCCGGGTGATCAGCTCCTTGCGCTCGGCCTCCTTGCGCTGCTCCTCGGCGCTCGGTGCAGGAGTAGCTGGACCGTCGCCCGAGCCGTTGGCTCTGCTGGCTTCCCCAGGACCAAATTGGCTGCAGGGCTCTGGACCAGCCGTGGGGTCGATCCTGTCGCCCGGTTCCACCTCATCGGAGTCCATGGCGGGCTTGATGGTGGATCGGATGTTCAGGTGCAGATAAACGTGCTCCACGTAGCTGTCCTCCTTCCACTTGGGGTCGTCGATGGACTCCACCTCCTCGAGCTCCTGCTTTGCTATGATGGTGGCGCGATCGAGGATGCGGTGCACCTCCATCACGATGGGAATGCGGCGGAAGTGCACCAGTCGGTCGAACACCGTCACCCGGATCTCGCACAACTTCGAGTGGTGGCCCTTGAGGCGGAAAAAGGGCGGGTTGAACACAACCGAGAAGAAGTCGTTGATTATGTAGCTGCAAGGGTAAGTCATTTAAATATCCTTATCCTCATCCTTCCATCTTACCTCTGCCAACGGAACTCCATGCACTGCTGTCCATAGTTGTGCACATTGACGAGCTGCGTCCGATCCTCGCGCAGGCAGACCTCGAAGTTCAACCTATTGGGATAGATGACGTGCAGGAAGTCGGCGCACTCCCGCTCCTTCAGGGGCATGTCCGTCTGCTCCTTCTCGTCTGCCAGCACACCGCGTCCCTTAATTTTGTAGCGTGCCTTGGTATTTTCATAGGTTAAGACTATTTCCGCCTGCGTTACATTATATAAACCATAATCACAGGTTAGGCATTACAACTGTGGGAAAATCGCTGTTAGCTTTTGCCAGGATTACCTCATTTTCGTAGTCCAGGGGTCGGTAGTCCACCAGAAGGGGCCACACACTCTGGCGCGGCACGGTGAGATTCATATTGAGCAGCTTGAGGCCACGATCCCTTGAGGCGAACGAGAAGGACAAGTGGGACATCGTGATGTTCTGGACCCACAACGGCTGCGTTATGTGGTAATAGTTTTTAATGTTTACCGGCAGCAGCTCCTTTGTGAGTAGGCACTTTTCGGGGTCGAAGGACGAGATCTCCAGGTGAAAGTGCCATAGAAACTTGCGGTTGTCTTCGGTGCTGAACAACATATTGTGATGTGATTATATATTAATATTTGTACATCATACTACGCTTACTGCACTTCGTAGGTGAGCAGGTGCTCGCCGTACAGGAAGAAGTAGGCCGTTACGGTGAGGGCCACCACCTCGTCCGGCTTGATGTCCAGGATTTCCTGGCTGACGTGCAGCAGTCTGCGGTGTGGGCAGTGGAAGAGCTGCCGGAACTGGTTGAAACCCACTTGGGTCTGCAGCGGCTGGCACTGGCAGTTCTGGATGCGCTTCAGCGTCAACTTGGCGTTCTTGGACGCGAGATTGCGCAGCCAGAAGACCATTTTCAGGGGATGACTGTGGATCTGGCGAATGGGGATCTTGAAGGTATGCTCGTGCTCTATGCGGTTCGAACGCAGCTTCCGATTCAGGCTGGGCATGGGTGGATAATTATAGCCTGGACGCTACCTGGACGCAGGTTCCTTCTCACCCCGTTATGTCGAAGCTCTCCCAGTAGAAGATCTTCAGGATGGGCGGTCGGATGACGGTCAGGTTGTCCACCATCAGCTTCTGGTAGACGATCGGCGGCTTGAACGTTCCACATGGCTTGCGATCTGGAACCGCGGGGGGCACTGGAGCTTCTTCCATCTTCGACTACAAAATATATGCTGCTGCAGGCCGATAGTCAAGGATTTTAAGGTACTGTTCACTAAATGAGCTTGGACTTGACAAAAAATCCCAAGAGAAACTTTCCACTTTTTAAATTCGAAAAGTACATCCCATCTATATCCAAAACGGTGTTCCAACTTTCGCCCTGATATATTCTTATATATACATTATTCAGTGGGGAAACCCTGTTGGGCCAAGGAGCAAAAACCACAGCCAGAAATGCAAAGCGCGAGGGCACACTGTACACCTGTGCGTACGTGTGTGTGTTCCTCGATAATCCTGCGTGCAATTCGTTTTTGTTTGCGAATTGACAAAGTGCCAAAGGCCAAGTGGGTGGTCGGCAGAAAAAGAGCAAGAAAAAGACATTAGTGTCACAGTGAAAAACAAACCTCCTGCCGAGCGCCGAGTTTCAGCACACACGCACACCACTGCCTGTTCCTCGCTGTGTGTGCGTGTGTGTGTGTGCGTGAGTGTGTGTGTTCAGGTGATTGTCCTTGCACGTGTGTGCGACTGCAGTTGAGCTTCATCGAGAAAACATCGTTTGCAGTTAGTGCGCTGACAGTGGCAAAGGTGAAAGACCAACAGCAATTATTGTACAGTGGAGCCTCCGAGAAAGAGTCGAAACTATTGAACTGGACCTACATGAAATTAAAGCTGCTTGCCTACAAATTTGTGTAATATCATCTTGTCGACACTTAAACAGATCACAATAGTTATTCATTCAAATTATAATTATCATATTATTGAAATACATGCTTAAACCTTTCTTAACATTTTTCAGAACCAATATTTATGTGAATTTGTTGCCATATATTTATATGGTACGGAGGAAGCATTTAGAAGGAGCAACAATTTGTTTGCTTATAAAAATTACCACCGTAAAAGGTTTGTTATATAAAGAATATTAAGTAAACAAACAAAACACCTTAAAATAATTTTATTTTATTCTCTGAAATTATTTGTGAGGAAATAAATTATTTATGATATGATATGATACGATATTATACATACATATATGCAGTCCTTTGATGAAAGTTGAAAGAATATTTGGAATTTCTATTGATTTTTTGATAAATGAAAGGCGTATATGTAATGTAAATGTAGATTATTCCCATATAAATACTGAAACGAAATGCATTTTAATTCGCCACAAATCGCATGCATATTTACATACAGATAGATAAACAGCATATCGTTAGCAGTTTTTTCTGATGTGCATTTTCTGACCTGCCAGTTGGGATTAGCATATTTCAAAGATATTTTTTTGATTTGCACTATTAACCTGTTTGCTCTTTATGTTTTTTGTCTTCAGGACCCATCTCAATTGCGGCTGATCGTGATTCGCACTCAATGTCCACTGTCCTGACAGCAGCTACAACCTGTGTGCATCAATCACAACCTTTGACAGCGTCGCTGCCACGCTTATCAGTCATGTCCTTGTCCCCCCCTGGTCCCCCCTCCGTCGCCTTCATCAGCAATCTGGCGTAACAATGGTGGAAAATGGTCTATGACCAGAATACAGAATGCAGAATGCAGAGCTTCAGAACTTCTAGAATAAAAGGCAGCTGCAATTGTCGGCGCCCTGTCACCGTCTTGCTCACTGCCGAGTCCTTTTGGCGGAGGAGAGAATCGTCCTGCGAGTGTTCCATCGGTTGCCACCGTTGCATTTCGCTCAAATTGTTCCAGCTCCAAACGTTCCAGCTCAATGCCGCTGCGAGGAGCAACTTTATGTTTTAAGCAAATATTTTGAATCCCTATTTGTGTTGATGTTGCATGAACTGTTGACCAGCGACAACTTGTTGGCCAATTGTTGCGGTTAGACTTTGCGATGCCTGTGGTTTGGGAGGCTGTTCTGTTCAGCGGCTGCACAGTTTGCACTGAGCCCCTTGACGGCTCAGCCAACTCCTTGAAAGTGTCGCTGGCTGTGCATAATTATGGCTTAATTTGCAGCTGGAAGCAGGCCCAACTAATTACTACAGCAAACTTCCCTCGCCGCCTCGTGCTTTTTTCGGCCAAGAGCACATGGCAATTAAAAACTTTTTATGCAAGACATTTTTTATTTTCCCCCAGGTAAAACTTTATGCACAGTT